GGTCTCCTTACACGTTTACAGGGCAGACAGCCCCTGTGGCAGGTGTATCGGGTTAAGAGACTCCCGGTGACTTCAGCATGTGGCCCTAACCCACGGTCAGTATCTGCTGCCCCACGGCCCTGTGCACTGGCGCTGGCCTCTCTGGGTGCTCAGTAAACGCCGCTGCCCAGGGGACAGGGAGGGCCTGGGGCTTGGTGGAGACCTGCAGGGGGCACAGGGCCTTTCCCGAAGCTGACCTGGAGGCGAGAACCTCCACGTGTCTCCGCTGCGTCTCCTCTTGGAGTCAGGAGAGGGCTCGAGGAGGCGCTGCGGGTGGAGAGAAGAGCTCCGTCCTTTTTGGACTCGCTATCCTCGCCAATGGCTGCTCCTGGGCACAGGAGGGGCTCGGGTGGCCACAGACCCTGGCCGCATGCGAGGCCATGCCATTGGCCACACAGCGGACCACACAGCTGCGGTGTGAGGGACACAGCTCCCAAACCAGAGCAGTGCAGTGGAGGTTTCCAGCTCAGAAGAAGGACAAGGGACACAAGTACTGTGTGTCGGCAGAGGACAGGGCTCGGACCCGGCCCATCTCTCGTGGTGATTTCAGGCCACACATTTGCCTGTCTGCGTTTCAGCTGCTTCTGGAACAAGGCACTGGGCAGGTGAACAGCTTGGAGCCCACAGAATCTGCAGAGGAGGCTCCATGTCCTTCAGGGACCCAGGGGAGATGAGGGGATGCACCCCACTGAGCCTCTTCCGAGTTTCCTGCAGGTTTAGGTCTTGTGTAAGGATAGATTTTAAAGTTATGGAATGTAGGATCCTAACAGCCGCACTGCTGAGAGCAGCCTTCACTGAAAACTTTTCACGGAGCTGACAATGTGCCAGCAGCTGGAAGCAGCCCGGGGAGGGAGGTGAGGGATGTTGTTACCCCCCTTACCTGTGAAAGAGCGCGCAGTAAAGAACTGGGACCTGCACAAAGCGGAAGAGCTGGGATTTGAGCTCAAGCCCGCGTGTCACTGCTCGTGTGGTGGATGGCTGGTAGGAACATGGCCTTCTCCTCAGGGGCAATGCACAGATGGGGTGCTGCAGGCCTGGCACTATTCGTGACGTGTCGTAGTCGCTCAGGCAGTGCTATGCCCTCCCCTCCTTAACTCTTTACACTAGATGTGGGCACTAGAGGAAAGTTTTCTCTTTCAAAAACTGGCTGTTCTGTCTAGAGTAATTTTAGAATTGTTCGGCCCAGTGATAGGGGATCCAAGACCAGAGACTATGACTGACTTTACCCTGAAGCTTCATGGAGAATTTGGGCGCATGCGTGCTTGTGTTTGTGTGGCAGAGAGCTCCCCATTTTTGTTTTTTTTTTGGTTTTGTTTTTTCTGGTACCAGGAATCGAACTCACGACCTTGTGCTTGCCAGGCAGGCGCTGTGCCGCTGAGCTAAATCCCCAGCCCCTGCGTTTTTCTTAACCCCTGAAGAAAATGACAGTGATTTCCACCTGCTGACCGGCCCCATCACCCCAGCAGCCTGCAGAAGCAGCGACCCGGTCCCACTGCAGGGCTGGGAGAGGCAGAGGCAGCTGTGGGATATTCTGTGAGGAGGGGACAGGTGTGAGCTGAATGGGAGCATCACCTCAGGTCCCAAATCCGGGCACTCCTCTTCAGAGGAGGCTTGGAGGACGTTTCCTCGGCCTCTGCTTCCCTGAGGCGGCAGAGTCTGGACGTTTGTGTGGCCTTAGCTTCCAGCACTCTTAACGCCTCCTCCAGTTCTTGTCACGTTTAGTCTCAGGGTGGAGTGCTTCCTCACAGCTTTCGGAAGGAGGTGTCCTGCCTGCCTGCAACCTGTGGACGCTGAGATATAACGCAACTTCCTGTGGCCAGGCACCTTCTGACTTTGTGTGTACACTGACACGATATACTGGGCAGTACTCCAAAGTGACTCTGCTGTGTCACCCCTGGTGCATTCTCGATCTTGCTAGGAGATGCTAACAATGGTTCGCATGCAGCTGCATCTCTACTGATGCCTGACGGTGAGAGCAATGCAACTGCCGGGTGTCAAGAGTGGGAAAGGTAGTACAGGCCGATTGTAGATTGTAGCTGGGCCTGGGGGCGCTTGCCTGTCCTCCCAGTGCCCTGGAAGGCTGAGGCAGGAGGAATGCAAGTTTACGTCCAGCAACTTAGTGACTTGGTTTCAAAATAAAAAATACAAAAAGGGCTGGGATGTGGCTCTATGCAGAAGCCCTGGGTTCAACCTCCAGTTCAAAATAAAAAAGATGTGTACCTCTTGAAAATAGCCCAAATGCCCATCAGCTGGTGCATGGATAAAGATGTGTTTTTTTATGCAATGGAGTCCTACTCTTCCATAAAGAAGGATAAGCTTGAGACATTCCTAGGTAAATGGATGCACCTTGAGAATATATTCTTAAATGAAATAAATCAGTCACATGTGTGTAAATACTGAACTGTTTCTCTGGTGTGAGAAACTGAAAGCATAAATAAGGACCAAAATGTATGATAGATATTGGGACAGAGGAAGAAAATGTTCAAACGGGGAGGGGAAACAGGGAGGGGGAGGGGGAGAGGAAAGAAGGAAAAAGCAAAAAAATTAGAAAAGAAGAAAAAAATGGAAACAAAGTTTTTGTAAATGGGGAGGCGAGGAGGGGTTGAAGAAAAAGGAATCAACTTATATCATCTACAGGTGCAGATTCTCTATGACGAGTGTGATCGTTATGTAGATCTAAAATGTACCAACAAAATCTGATTGGAAAAGAAGAAAGTGGCAGGAACGATGGGATAAGTATATTTGAAGCAAGGGGGAATGTTTTGGGGGGGACTCATGGCAATGTGTCTTTACTGTAATACGTTTTTTAACATAAAAAGATGTGCCCCAATTTTAAAGAATTTAAAATTAGAGGACACATGCATGTAATAATTAATGAAATGTGGATAAAGAAAATGTGATATACACACAGTGGAATACTATTCACCCATCAAAAGGAGGAAGTCCTGCCATCGGTGACAGCGTGGGCGGCACGGGAGGTGGTCGTGCTCAGCTGGGCACGGAGGGACAGCACTGCCTGACTGACCGCGGCCGAGGCCCGAGGCCGAAGCCCGAGGAGAGCAGGTGTGTGGCTGCCGGCTGGGGCCAGGCCGACTGAGCCAGGAGGGGAGACACCTGTGTCGGCGCCTCCTGAAGGAAGCTGGCGTCCTCAGCCTCACGGGGCGCTCTGCGTGCTCTCCACGTGGCCAGGGTTCCGGAAGCCTGCATTTGCCGGCGGGGTGGTGGTGAGGGCCTGGCGCTCAGTGCTTGAGGTAAACGGTCACGTGTCCCCACCCCGGCTTCCCCCACCCCGGCTGTCCCCGCCTCGATCCTCTCCCCCGGCTGCAGGTCCTCCCCGTGTAGAGTTGGGCCGCTCGCAGAGCTCTGGTTAAGGTGTCCCCATCGCCAACTGTAGTTGGCTGGTGCCAGTGGGAAGCGCTGAGCTGCTGGCTTTGGTCGTTTACACTTCGCGTGGTGAGCTGCTGGGACATCTGAATGCAGCTCTGGATGGTTCCGACAGGTTTGAGCCGGTTTCCCCTGGTATGGATGCCTTGAATGAGGCCCCAGCAGTCTCACTGCATGAGAGCACGAGTGGCTTAGGTGGAGGTGGATCTGATTACTGGTACCAGCTGGGTCAGTAGAACACGCTGACCCACTTGGACCCCCAAGAGCCCACCGTGTGGGTCACTGTCGTCTGGCGTCTGAAGCCAGATTAAAGCAATCAAAACGGGACTCTACAAGTTTTGGTTAGATTCATCTGTTTTGGGCCAAAGTGGTTTTATATCAGTCAGAAGTTCTTTTGTAGTTTTATGATTTAACTGGTTTTTTTGAAACAAAGTCTCACTATGTAGCCAGGCTGGCCTTGAACTTGTGGCAATCCTCCCGCCTCAGCCTCCCGAGTGCTGGGATTACAGGCATGTACCACCACCCTTGGCTGGTTAGTTCAGTTCCTTAAGCATCACAGCCATGGTCTGGGTGCAGGGTGAATGGGAGATGGGGAGGAAGTTGGTGGCCCCTGGGAGAGGCGACCGGCCTGGTGTGGACAGCTGGGCATGTCCGCTCTGTTGGTGGTAACAGAGGGCCAGGTCTTAGCATTGGAGATGGGGAGGAGCTGCCTTCCTGGGGATACTTCGAGTCCAGGGGGACCAGTGTTTTGGGTTTGCACCTCTTTAGAATAGAAAAGCACAGCACTGGACACACCTGTGGTGACCGACTGTCGGCTGGAGAGGTTTGGTCTTCTTGGAGGTGGACTCTGGCCTGGGTCACTGAGGAAGGAAGGGCTGGATTCAAAGCAGGCAGCAGGCTGAGACCGGAGCTGGGAATTGTGGTCTGGGCATTGACTTGGATCCGGCGGATCCATTATTCCGGAGAAGCCTGCAGAATGAATACTGTGAGCCAGTAGTAACAGTTCACAAGGAAGCTCGCGTCATATCTTCCTTGTGGAGTGGCAGCGTCTTTGAAGGACCTGTAGTCAGGGGTGGAAGTGAGTACGATAACGAACCTGGTGGGATGGCTGGGGGCGACACCTGGCCTCAGGAGCCTTTGGGAAGGAGCCAGCTTGGAGCCACTGAGCCCGGGCCCCCACAGCTTCCTGACTGGCTCCTTCCTCAGCTTCTCGGCAGTTTCTGCAGAAAACAGAGACCACGATTTGTTTTTTTTTTTGGTTTTTCTCCAGTACTGGGAACTGAACTCACGGCCTTGCGCTTGCCAGGCAAGCTCTTTGCCGCTGAGCTAAATCCCCAGCCCCAGAGACCACGATTTGTGCCGTGTCTTGTTCTCAGCTTGGGTTTTGTTTCGAGGCTCTGTGAGGGCAGCCTGGAGTGTGTCGCTGGTTCTGGGAGCATCTCACCGAACAGTTGGGTCCCGTGGCAGCGCACCCGACCCTCCTCAGAGCCCCATTGTGGCTGCCTGGCTGCTCGCGAGCTGCCACCTTGTGGGAACTGTTTTCCGGGGCTGAGTGTGCTTTCGCTTGTGTCTTGCAGGTGAACACTAAGCTCTTCATCATGTCTGATGGAGACTATGATTACCTCATCAAGTTCCTAGCTCTGGGCGACTCCGGAGTAGGGAAGACCAGTGTTCTCTACCAGTACACAGATGGTAAATTTAATTCCAAATTTATCACCACGGTGGGCATTGATTTCAGGGAAAAGAGAGTGGTAAGTTCCAAAACCTTCCTTACACATACGGCATCCCGCCAGCGCGCTGTGTGTCGCTGTGTGTCAGGACGGGGTGGGCGAGCCGCAGCCCCGCGGTGTCGGTCAGACACGCAGAGCCCGAGTTGTCCCCAGCTCGCCCGCCCCGTCTGCCCGCTGAGCCCACGCAGCTGCTCGTCCATCTCTGTCGCACGTGTGCCGATCCGTCTCTCTCTCCGCACGCCTGTGGGCCGTCTCCTCCTCCTTGGCCTGCCGCAAGAAACCAGGCCTGTGAGCCCGGCTACTCAGAAGAGCAAGGCAGGAGGTTCAAAACTTTGAGGGCAGGCTGGGCAATTTAAGCAAGACCTTGGCTCAAAAGAATACTTACAAAGGCCTGGGCTGTGCTCTGTGGTACAGCGCTTGGTTAGCATGTGTGGAACCTGGGTCCGATCTCAGAATCTAGCAACAAAGCCAGAAAAACAAAAGTAAGCTAAACTAAAGAGCAGCAGAAGGACAGAGATTAGAGTGGAAATAAATGCTCTTTTCTTGAAAAGTCAGCTAAATTTCTAAGGAAGGAAAGGGCAACTCTGCCAACCTTACATAAAGAAATGATGATGAAGAAATACTGTAAAACTGCATGTAGCACATTTTGTAATGTACAAGAGGTGGAGAAATTCCTAGGCACGTATGACTGAAACGGACTCCAGAAGAAATAGATCTCAGTAGACCTATGAGCCATCAGCAGACGGAGGAGGCGTCCAGCCACTTCCCACAGAGGGAACTAAGGCAGTCCCGCACCACGGCTTCGGGGAGACGGACCAGTCTGAGGAGAAGTTTAACAGCAGTGTAAAATGAGCACCTGGAAGCCACAAAACATCATTGAAAAGATTTCCAAAGGTGGAGATAAGCGGCCTGCGTCGGAAGGAAGGCTCCTCTCAGCAGCGTGTCTTCCTCCGACACCCAGAACCCCGCGGCGCCGTGCTGCAGGCAGCTTGCCCTCAGCTCTGTGCGGCCTGCGGGTGACCGGCCCTGTCCTGAGGACACGCTCAGGGGAAGCGCATGGACGCCCGACTTAGAGCCTCAGAAGTTGTCAGTCTGGCCCTGTATCCACTCACTTAGGGCTCGAGGGAGGCGATGTTTTTTTTTTTTAACTATATTTTTAAATTTTCTCTAGTTCTTTCTGGATAGTAATATTATCATCTTAATTTTTAATAATATAGTTTCAAAAAAATTCTAGTACACACACACATATACACAGAGGTTTTTTTCGGACCAGGAACAGAACTCAGGACCTTGCACTCGCTAGGCACACGCTATGCCTCTGAGCCATCTCCTTGGCCCCTAGTTGGTGGTTTTTGAGACAGGATCTCACTGTGTGCCCAGGCTGGCCTCGAACTCACAGCGACTGGGCATGCTAGGGTTACAGGCATGTGCCACCACACCCAGCCAATCTAGTTTTTATTAAGTGTCTTAATTTCAGTACGGACAAAGCTTTGGTCTTATGAAATCTCATGTCCCCTGCTCTGGGTATCACTGATCTGAAAATGCCACCTTCACACATACACAACTCTTGGATCATCAGAGTCTCATACAGTTTTTATTTATTTTCTGAGACAGGGTCTCGTTCTGTACCCAAGGATGGTCTGGAACTCAATGATCCTCCCTCCTCCTGCCTCAGCCTCCTGAGTGCTGGGATCACAGGCGTGAGCCCCCATGCCCGGCCACACCTATCTTTTTAAAGGGTGGAGATACAAAGAGTATGCTGTGCGGGCTTGCACTTTGCTTGGATCGTTGCCCCCCACCTGTGCCCCAGCTCCCTCTCCAGCACTGTCTTCAGTGTTTCCTATAGGGCAGCTCTGCCCACGAGCAGCGTTTGTCTCCTTTGTTTGAAAACATCTTAATGTCTCCTTCAATTTTAGAGTATAGCGAGGAAGGGTGCAGAATTCTTGCACAATAATCTTTTGTTTTTTAAGCACTTTAAAAATCTGAAAATAATAAAAAATCATCTCTTTCTCCCCTTTTCTTTCCTAGGGCTTTGATTATCCATTTGCTGGTCTTTTAAGGGATATTTCCCCCTTGTGATGCTCCTCCTTTCTCTGGTTTGCTGTTTCTTAAACAGGGTGATTTCAGGGGTCTATGTTCACCCATGCCTGCCTTTCTTCTCTGTTCCTGTTTTTTTTTTTAACCAGGAATCCAACTCAGGACCTTGCACTTGCCAGGCAGGCCCTTGCGCTGCTGAGCTGTATTCCCGGCCCTCCTCTGGTCCAGTTCTCAGCTGAGCCCCTCAGGGGACTTTGCACTTCAGAAACTGATCGTTAGCACACAGAATTTCCTTTTTTCTTTTTGAGGCAGGGTCTTGCTATGCAGTTCAGGCTGGCCTTGAGCGCACTTTGTAGCCCAGGCTGGCTTTGAACTTGCAACGATCCCCCTGCTTCAGCCTCCTGAGTGCTGGGATTACAGGGGTGCGCCACCACGCCTGGCAGCACGCAGAATTTGTCTCTCTTTTCTTCCTTTCTTTCTTTCTCTTTCTTTCTTTGCCCACCTTCCTTCCCTCCCTCCCTCCCTCCCTCCCTCCTTCCTTCCTTCCTGAATCGTGGATGTTAACCCAGGTTCTTCACCCTTCATACTGGGCTGTGCCCTCAGCCCTGTTTATTTTGAGAAGGGTCTCACCTAAGTTGCCCAGGCTTGGCTTGACCCTGTGACCCCGACTCAGTCTCCCAGAGTGCTGGGTAACAGGCTGTCCCAATGAGTCCAACTTCTATTTACTTCTATTTTTAAATGTCATCTTGTTGTTAGTAAGTCACTGCTATCATACTGTTTTTCATTCTTCGGGTATTGTAGTTCTCTGAATGCACTTGGACTTGCTGATTTAAAGTCTTTGTCTTTGACCAGTTGCTGTTGCTTGCTTTTCCATGTGTGTGAGGCGTTTCCTCCTCCCTTGGTGTCTTCTAAGTTTCCCCCACTCGGTAGAGCTTCAAGGGCAGTCGGACGTGAGAGCTCACAGCGCCCCTCTCTGGATGGTCCTGGGTGCGTGTAGGGCCCTTCAGATGAATGACTTTTAGGAATATTTGGGAGCAGTAAAGCTCCTGAGCACAGTGCCTGTCCCTTTCTACTTTTTTTTTTTTTTTTTTTTTTAACACTTTCTTTGGGTTGACTTCATCAGCCCCACTGGGGTCCTTCTCCTGGGAGGTGCTGGTCCTGATAACAAGTGTCCAGGGTCAGGGCTGTCCTCATCCCATGGAGACCTGGGGGCTTTCCAGCTGGCTCTGCCTCTACTCTACACTGGCTGCCAGGCTACCAGGGTCAAGGGTCTGCTGGCTTTTACAGGTGCTTTGGACCCAGGGTGGGGTTGGACCCAGGAAGGGCAAGTGAAAACTCTGAGGCCATTTTCCTTGAAGCCAGGCGCCTGGGAAAGCTGAAGGCTCTGGTGAATTCCACAGTTCTGTCCAAGTTGACTCTGACCATTTTTGCCAGTGTCTTCATCACTATTTCGTGGAAAAGGTTTTTGGATGAGATTGGGCGTGTTTGGGGTGGTATGGCTGTAGACGGAAAAGGTTTTTGGAACTCCTTTCCTGCGGTTCCAAAAGTGAATAACATGGTTTTAAAGGTGCCCTTTAAGGACGAGACAGGAAAGCCCGGAAGGCAGAATTTCCTGAAGCTAGTGACCAGGGGCGCTGGGGGAGGCCAGCTGTTTTTTACGTAACTTAACGTTATTTCCATTTTGCAGCATGTTTGTAAGGCACATAATGCACGCACCTTTCACACAGCTGTCGTGTTATCTGTCGTGTTGTCCAAGTGTCACTACCTGACTACATGCGAGTGTGGCCATGCTCGGGGCCTCTGCTGGTCACAGAGGAGGGGCTGGTGACTCTGAATGTTTCCTCTCCGCTCTGCTGTCCTAGGTGTACCGAGCCAGCCGGCCAGATGGAGCCGTGGGCCGGGGCCAGAGGATCCACCTGCAGCTGTGGGACACAGCCGGCCAGGAGAGGTGCGTGGCGTGGGGTGGGGTGGGAGGAGCCATGGCGTCCCCTGAGGGGATGGGGCTTCCTTCTGTAAGGTCCGTAGGGCCTTCTCATGCGCTCTCCCTGTGGCTTGCTGTCTGCTGGCCTGCAGGACCCACCGAGCAGGCTTGTACTGTCCTCTGCACTGCAGCCCAGAGCTCTGCTGCAAGCGGGTCGTGCGGTCAGAGGTCCCGGGCCCAGACTGTTGAAGCCTCGGCCTCGGCCTCAGCTTGCTCTCAGCCTTCCCCAGAGGCAGCACGCAAGGGTCTGGTTTCCACCTTTGTTATGGAGACTGTGAATCTGTAGGGAGCAGTGTGGTCCCCGGACCGGGCTGTTCTGTGCATGCCCGTCCCTGCCCGCCCTCTCCCAGTACTTGAAGCAAATTCCGAGTATCCTGTTCTTTCATTTATAACTATGTGGGGGTCTTTCTTTAAAAGATAAAGGCTCTTGCCGTATGTGGTGGCTCATGCTTGTAATCCTAGCACTGGGGAGGCTGAGGCAGGAAGATCGTTGTGAGTTCGAGACCAGCCTGGGCTACAAAGTGAGCTCCAGGCCAGCCTGAACTGCATAGCGAGATCCTGTCTCAAAAAGACAAACAAAAAGGGCTCTTTATTAAAATACTGGTTAAAATAGTTGAGAAAACCTGAAATTGCTGATTAACTGATGACCTTATGTCAGTGCTCTCTCCCCTGAAGCGGGGCCGTGGGCTTGTGCAGAGGGATACGCTCTGCTTGGGCTGATAAACCTGTCACTGTCATGTGTCCTGCTCAGAGCTTCAGGCTAACGCAGGCGAGGACTCCTGCCCCAGGTGCTGAAAGCTCCGCCTCCATGGTGGCCTGGGTAGTGACCAGTCTGTCTCGTGTCCCAGGTTCCGCAGCCTGACCACAGCGTTCTTCAGGGATGCAATGGGCTTTCTTCTGCTGTTCGACCTGACCAATGAGCAGAGCTTCCTGAATGTTCGAAACTGGATAAGTAAGTCTCCTCTCCCCACGCAGGCACCCTCTTCTAGCCGCCTCTGTCGTCAGTTGTCTTGGAGGAGATCCTACTGCAAATGCTGTTTAGAAGGACATGGTTTTAGTAAGGTGTGGTGGCATACACCGATAGCCTCAGCAGTATGGGAGGCTGAGGTAGGAGGGTCACAAGCTCAGCCCAGCCCGGGCAACCTAGTGACCTAATGAGACCCCGTCTTAATAAATAAAAGGGGCTGTGGATGCAGCTCAGTGTGAAGGTGCTGGGTTCAGCCCCCAACGCCAAAACAACGAGATGAGGTGTTCAGTTCAGGGCCCAAGGTGACTGGAGCCCCTGCCATGGTAGTCGTTGTGGGGGACAGCAAGCTCTCCATGTCCTGCCCAGGCTGCTGGGCACACGGTGCTCACCCGATTCAATCTGCAGAGAAGGCGGAGCCAAGGTCAGCACCGCTCCACACCAGCTCACCGCTGTGTGGCCGCGAGTTACCTGCGTGGCCCTGGGGCAGATGCCTGATGCATACCTAGTTACCATTTCTTCTTTTTCTGTCCAAATAACAAGTTAGACGCTCTGTACCTAGGGGTGTCTGTGTGTGTGCCTGTGTGTGTGTGTGTGCCTGTCTGCTTGTGTGTCTGTCTGTCTCTGTGTCTGTATCTGTCTGTGTGTCTGTGAGCTCACAGCCGTGTTGATCACAGCCTTGGCTGCCCCAGGCCCCAGGGGATCTGCTCCTCACAGTGGCGCTCAGGGTGGCCTTGGCCGTCTCTGTCCGGCTTCTCTCTGTGTCCTGCAGGACAGGAGGACCGTGGGTTGCTGGTGCAGGGATGAAACTGCACCTGGGCGGGGCCGAGGAGCCCGGGCAAAGCTGGGCTATGGAGGGAGCAGGCTCCTGCCCAGGCCCCTGCTTCTTGGGAGGCTTTCCCACAGACTGAGTTTCCACACTTCCATCAGCGGCCTCACGTAAGCGGTGCAGGGGCCACTTCTACTTCACAGACTCTGCCACCCTTTATTTTGTTCTCCTTACCCTCTCCACACCCAGCCCCCTGCATTTTAACCCAGTGGAGTCTGTTTGTCTTTAACACCTGCCTGCTCCGCATAGCCCCACGAGAGGAGAGCTCGCCCTCAGGCCCGCTGCCCTCCCCTGCTGCTGGCCCTCATCCTGGCTGTGTTGGTGGAGGTCAGCGTGAGTCCTCTGCCTCCAGTGAACGCTTTCAAATGCCTGACCAGTATGCATTTTACACAAGCAATTCACAGCTTAGTAGAAAAGTTAAGAAAACGCCTCCTAGACTCTCCAGACTGAGCTCCTCCCTGATGACCATGCTGGGTGCTCACAGAGGTCTCTGACAAGCGTGTGCAGACGACTTGGTCCCAAGTCCCCCGGGGGTCACCCTTGCTGCACTCACAGCACCTGGCTCTGGACAGGGCCTGGGAGTGTGCACTTCTCACCAGCTCTCAGAAGCCGCTGGGAACCATGAGTTAACTCGGTCCTCTCCTTGTCTGCAAAGGGAGTGCTGTCATCACCGACCCCACCCACCCCGGACCTCGGGAAACTGAGGCAGGCAGTCAGTAACTTCTTCAGGGTCACCTCGAGTGCATAGCAGAGCACGTTGCGCACGAGTGCCTATCAAATCCCTGTACCACATCTCTTCTGCCCGCAGGCCAGCTGCAGATGCACGCATACTGTGACAGCCCCGACATCGTGCTGTGTGGCAACAAGAGTGACCTGGAGGACCAGAGGGTGGTGAAGGAGGAGGAGGCCAGGGCACTTGCTGAGAAATATGGGTGAGTACTTTGGAGCAAAGTCCAGTGAGAACAGTTTTGTAGCATGGAAGGAAATAAAAAAGACGAGCATGAAGAATGAAAGCAAAGGCTCTGCTGTAGGCCGGGCGGTGTGGACTACCTGCTTTTCCACTGGTATCACGAGGCAGCAGGAGCCGTAGCCGAGGCATGTGCGTGTGTGCCTGCATGCGTGTGCATGTGTGTGGGGAAGTGTGCATGTGTGTGCCTGTGTGGTTGTGCCTGAGGGGATCTGTGTGTGCATGTGTGTACGTGTGTGTGTGCCTGTGTGCCTGCATGTGCCTGTGCACACGTGGGGGATGAGTCCATGTGTGTGATGATGTGTGCCTGCATGTACATGTGTGTGGAGATGCACACATGCGTGTGCGTGCCTGTGCGTGCACGCGTGTGCCCATGTGCGTGTGCAGCCCCTCCAGGGTGTGGTCCCTCTGCTGTCTTGTGCTCTGCGGAGGGCTGGCTGTGGGCTGCAGTGCTGGCAGCAGAGCTTCCTCCTCCAGGATTCCCAATGCAGGCCCTAGGCGACCTCCAGCCAGGAGGGGAGCCAGTCATGGTGGGTCCCCACGCGGCCACCCTTACACTGTTGCCAGGAGCTCTGGCTGGCGGAGGTACTGTGGTGGCTGCAGGCCGGTGTGGCTCCAGGAGGGGTCCCAATGCGTTTGGTGCACACACGGTTCCCCCAGGGAGTCACTGTCTCGCCTTGCAAACCGGTCCGGTAATAACAAGGAGCTGCTGTGACTGTGACAAACACAAGAGCAGGGGGCATTGGCACTGTGCTCTTTCAGAGGGCACTGGTGCCCAGGAACTGAGGTTGCAGCTTAGCTGGCCCAGGGCGCAGTGTCAGTGCCGAGTCCCCAGCAGGTCTGTGCCCAGGTGTCTCCCCGGGACGAGAAGTGTCGTGCTGCAGGATGCATGCGGATGGCAAGGGCTCGTCCTGGGTTGTGTCCACTGTAACACAGGTGGGTGGGTGCCGGGACCTCCTTCATGAAGTGGATGTGACAACCCTGAGGCTCCATCCACAGAGGGCAGGGGTGACGCCGACTCCTTCTGTGCTGCTCAATTTGCAGTTGGGGAAGTGGAGCAAAGTGCAAATGTGACCAAAGTATGACACAGAATGCGTCTCGTGTGTGCTGACCATGGGCGTGACTGGGCTCTCCGAGTGGACAGGACCCTCACCCCCACTGGCTGCCCTGGGTCAGCAGGAGCTCATGCGGCCCCAAGCAGACTACATGCAGGCCCTGAGGGGCGGATCTGATCGCCTACTTGCAAACTTGCTGCATCTTGCTTGGCCTGGGCTCGTGATGCCTGCTTAGTGAGTTCTGGACCCTGTGAACTGGCCACAGCCGAAAGGGCAACCGGTGGGAAGGGCATCGGGCAGCGCCCAGGAGACACTCCAGCTTCACTCCTGTGGGAGCCGGTGTCTGAGCCTTGGGAGGGGTCTCCAGCATGCTGCCGCTGCCCTGGGCACCTTCCCTGGGGCCCCAACCTTCCAGTTTGTGGGAGCAGATAACAGAAGAGAGCCCTTTGGATGTGGGCTGGGCCCTGGGCATGAGGTGTGGATATGGCATAGAAAAGCTACAGAGGATGTTGCCCTTCTCGGTTTGAAGCTGTTTACCCATTTGCTTTTTTAATTTTTATTTTAAAATTTGCGATTAGTCTGTTTTTAAAAAACACGTTAAAATTAGTCATCTGTGTGTACTCCAGGTGGCCATTAAACTATGAAGCTGTAAGATTTGCTAGAATTTTTTCCTACCTTTGGCAAAAGCGCTCTGCAGGTGTCCTGTTATCCCCACCATGTGGACGGAGAGAACCTTTTTTCTGGGCTAAACCAAGGACTATTGAAGTCGAGGGGCAGCACATATCTGCAACCCTAGCCACTATGCAGAAGGCTGAGGCAGGAGGATCACCATGAGTTTGAGGGCAGCCTGGACTACACAGTGAATTAAAAAATGAAAAGCACATATTCTATGCTATATATATAATATTTTCCTTCAAGAAAAAAATAATTAGACTCAATTTTTGGAAGTGGCTAAGGTTTCTAGCTCAGTTGTAACTCCTGTGAGGAGTACAGTATGGGTCAGCTACTCCATTGTCCCTCATGTTTGAGCACCCTGGGGTGGGGTGACATCCCTGCCACCCTAACTGAATAACTAATGATAAAGGCCACGGCCTGTTCTCACCCAGCCATCTCTTCCCCCAGTGTCCCCTACTTTGAGACGAGTGCTGCCAACGGGACAAACATAAGCCCCGCAATCGAGGCGCTGCTGGATCTGATCATGAAGCGGATGGAGCGGTGCGTGGACAAGTCTTGGATTCCCGAGGGCGTCGTGCGCTCCAATGGCCACACCTCTGCTGATCAGCTCAGAGAGGACAGGAAAGGGGGTTGTAGCTGCTGAGCACCTCGAGGACACGGGCCATGTGTGATACGTGGTTGTGAGATTACAGGCAAACTGTTTCTCAGCATCTCCCTCAGGTCTAGTAATGAACCACCTGCTTTTTAATTGCTGCAGCTTTGTAAATATTTCTTGAAGATTCAGCCTGAGAAATAGCTCCCAGGCCCCAAAGTGCCTTATAAACCCTCAGTTCCCAGGGGGCAGCCAGGAGGGACTCAGTGTGGGCGTCTGTCGCATGGGACACTGTGGACAGGACTCTGTCACTGGCTGTGACGCAGACAGACCAGGCTCTCCTGTTGAGAGCTTCGATGTAATCGTAGTGCTGAATCCAAATTTAAATCCCACACTGTAGGTGACCTTCTCAGCTGCCACTTGTGGGATGAGAATGCATGTGCAGGTGTGATCTGCTGGATCTGCTGACCCTGCATGTGTCCCCTTTAACATACATGGCTCTGTGTTCCAGTCCCATCCAGAGGGCTCAGTGAGCGGGGCTGGCTGTGACCACAGGCTCACTGTGACTCTGGCTTGGGGGAAAGGGTTTAAGTTGCGGCAAGGGTGGCTCGATATCCTTTCAGCCTCTCTGCTGTGTTCCCGTGGCTCTGAAGGGCTGACGGGAGGGTCAAAGTCCACCGCGACCTGTGCTCTTGTGCTTGGCCTCTGTGCGGCCGGGTCAGGCGTAGCTGGTGCTTGCACTGCTGTGTGCAGCAGCATTATGCTTTCTTTACTTCACGTTTGTAATGTGGCCTGGTGGCCACAGTTTATAAGCTATTGATCTGTCCTCATCACTGTTCCATTCCAGTCCCAACCCTGTGGTGAGACTACAAAAGCCAACCCTGCCTCCCTGACAGACACCTGTAATCTAATTTGCATCTGACAAGACAGCTGTAATCTAATTTACCTCCTGATAGGCATCCTGCTCTAAACCTAATCCACAAATATCAGCCCCTCCCAGAAATGTCCTGGCCGCTCAAACAAAGCCAAAAGCACTTCTCTAAAACTTCTGTGCCACTCCTAACAGGGTCCAGTCCCCTCTACCTATGTATATATAAACCTAGCTCTTTGCGTCTAGTGCGCGGTCTCTACCCTTATAGCCACCACGCTCCACGTAGGTGTTTACAGCTTGGTTACTTTTTCCTATCCGAGCAACTGAAGGAATTAGTATTCATGACAGAAGCGTGTCAGCCAAGTGGTGGTGAGATGCTCAGGTCTCTAAGCACCACCTGTCCTCTCCCCAGGGCAATGACAGGACCAGCCTGCAGCCTGCAGTCTCACTGTGCCCCCAGGTTGCTAAATGTTCACACCAAAGAGGGTGGTTTTAAAATATGCTTCATGGAAGGTGTTCGTAAAGTCCAAAGGTATTTCATTTAGGGGTAATTCTTATTTATTAAAGTGGTTTAAATACAGTAGATTCAATTCTCGAGAGCACTTTAGTGGTTATTTAGGACAAAATGTCTCCCACTGTAATTTAGTGAAAAATAAAAATGAATGTCTCTTATGACAGCAGATATTTACAAGAACTACGATTAGAAAAATACAGGTATCTGGCAACCACTCTTGCATGGTGACTTGCACATGGGTTTTTATTGCGCTCCTGTAGGGTTCTGGCCACTGCCCTTTGCCTCGCCCATAACAAACTTAGCTTCGGATACTAAGATTTTATATTTTTCTGTCTTTGAAATCAGAGCCTCTTTTAAACACCAAGGACGCCCCTGAAGCCTGTGCGTTGTGTCTTGTGGTAAAAAGGCACTGTGAAGGCAGGGCCAGAGTCACACCTGGTACCTCCCGACTGCGCCTTGGGACAGCCAGAGTGCATCCTGGTTCTGCTGGGGTCTCTGCGCCCTAGGACCGAAGTCAGTGTGTCATGCTTCTGTTTTCAGGAGCCAGGAGATAGCTACGGGCCGCACTGGCCATAAGCACAGGACGCAATAAATGTACACGTGGCACAGTACCCCCAAGCCACCTCCAGTCGTTGAAAAAAAGACCCGTATCTCCTTTCAAAAGCATTTGTGTAAATTTTATATCAAAGTGCCATACTTTTCTGAGTGTCAGTGTACTTTTGTACTTACAAGCCTGTGTAAAAACGCGTCATGAATTTCGTGCCAATAAAGCAATGATTAAAAAGGGGGTTGAGTCTGACGGATTTTTGTGTGAACATTTCGTTCCCCGTCACAGCAACAGGTGAAACCAGGTCGTCCCACGGTAGGACCCAAGCTTGGGCACCACGCGCGCCGCGCCGTGCGCGCGTCCGGGGAGG